TACGTATATATGGTCAAGGGAATACTTGACCATATAAACATTCGATTTTTTTTTCAGAAAACCTTCAAATATACCAACTATAATATAACTCTGATATTATAATCTTATAATTAATAAGTATAATGTAGCTACGATATCAATATGGTCAATGCATGGAAGTTCTTTAATTTTACATAAATGAATGGAAGTTATTAGGTAGCTGAATTGTTGCATAATTTAATGAATTTAATTTATACTCTTATATATGTACACGACTCTACTGGTACTATAAACCATGCATAGGCGCTACAAACATATATATATATGAATATATTATATGCCAGTATGTTGCAGCTACGGATTCACCGCCCGACCAGCGTGGGCAATTGCTCAGGCTCTGCGTGCGGCATGTGGCATGCACCGAGGGTGATTTCTCTTTGTTAAAACCGACTGAGGGTGTGTTTAGTTCACACCAATATTAGAAGTTTAATTGAAATTCGAACGATGTGATGAAAAGGTTGGAAGTTTGTGTGTAGAAAAGTTTTGATGTGATGGAAAAGTTGAAAGTTTAAAGAAAAAGTTAGGAACTAAACTAGGCCTGATTAGCTTGCTCCTTGACAAAGTTATCAGGCTCTGTACTTAGTACTAGTAGATGATTTGGTACAAGCACAGGTAGCATTTGTCGCACGGCCACACGTACTGTAGCATGCAATTAGGCCGTGGCCACTAGTTGCCAACTTGCTTGCTTTACAATAGATGGCATGATTCATCAACTAAAGTACTGAAGTACTAGGTTTACAAATTGTCAACTAGTGAAAATTACATGTGCGTCGAATTATGCTTTTGTTATAAAATCGTTGTCTTCAGTTGGTAGTAAAATGAGCACATAAACATTTACATAAGCGGTAGCAGTACTTTTTCTATTCTTTTAATACTTGCTCAGGGTTTACAAAATTTTTTAGCTCAGCCACTGGTATGTTGCAAGCTAGCTGGCGATGACCGGATCAATTATCGTTTTCGTAGAGGGGCTAGCTAATATAGCTAGGGATCATAAGATTATGTCCATGCATGCAATGCCTCTGTCGTCAATCCTGCCATTCTGCTCGTCCGGGTGCGTGCCTACATAATTTGTACTATTTGCTATAAGTTGCCTACGTACTCTCTTATTAGCCTGCGAATACTTAACCCGCAGATTTAAATTAAATTAAAGATGATGGTAATTAATTAAGAAAAAATTGTATGAATTGACTATTAGATTGGCTATAGATGAATTGGAGCTAGTAGTGGGTTATACTATTAAACTTGCTCTTACGTCAAAACCTATAAAGTATTCTCTCCGTCCTAAAATATAAACATTTCTAGTTATAAATCTGAACAATCGTACGTCCACATTCATTACTAAAAGTTATAAAGTTGTTATATTTTAGGACGACATTAATTGCACGCATAATTATTGTCTCGATAAATGAATCCATGCATGCATCGACAAATATATTCTGTGCGCAGTTATATCCATCTTGTATTCTACGTACTTGCCACATCTATATCAAATGCCAACATACATGTGAGATGTGTACACATGAGTACACATCTTACGATATGATAAAGCCGATTTTGCGTATATATAATATGCATGCATCTGCAGTATGTGCCCATGCATACACTACCTTAGCTTTTTTTTTAGAACCTACAGCCTACATATATACATATATATATACTCTGAGACCGATTACGTCCACAAAACATGTTTAATTGCTAACTTATTCTATGCACATCGATAAGCTAGCTATAGCCGACCCACGCAGCCATTAACTTATGCATGCACGTCTGAATCATGACATTTGCATGATTATTAAACATCACAGATATAAACCGGCCTCTAGTTTGCAGAGACCATCCGAATTGCATGGAACATATCGTCAATGTTGCAAAATATGGGTATTTTCTTAAAATACTACGGGCAACTATATGTATATATACATACCAGCTTGCAGCTGTATTTGTTAATTAACTAACCCCACACATGCTTACAAGTTGGCGAAGCCACAACAGGAGATCGAGCTGAGAGAGAATAATCTCAGGTGCGGCGCTATGGATTTAGAATTTCTCATATTAATCAGAGAAAAAGAAAAAACAGAGTTCATATAGAAATACAATTTAGAAATAACTGAAATACGAAATTCAAAGATAAGGAATATTGGAAGAGGAGACTAGAGTCCACGCCGGTATACAATTTAGAACTAATGGAAATCCAGAATTAAAAAATAAGAAAAATAAAATAAGGTTAGAGTCCATATAGAAATATAATTTAGAAATAAATGAAACTCGGAATTAAAAATAAATAATATTTTAAAAAGAGTATAGAGTCCTGTCGAGGAGTGATCCTCTCTAGCGAGAGATCGTGAGACCCCCCTTTCGTGAGTTCGGCCGGGGGAAGAAGCTCGCCTCTAGAAATCGCATATCCGTCCCCAAGGCTCCTAGCTAGCTCGCACACAACCAAATTATACAGATTCGGGCCGCTATGATGCGTAATACCCTACTCCTGTGTATGGGATTTAGACTGAGAGTTACAAGGGTTCCTAAACTCGGGAGAACACTCTTACTTCCCTCCTCCACAAGCTCAGGTTTTCTGAGAGTCGTCCTCTTTCTCGGTGGGCAAGGTCCTCCTTTTATACCTCAAGGGGATACCACATGCACCGCCTCTACCTACTCTTCTTTCAGGTGGGGACCCACCCTATCTTGACTGGAACTCGACCCGTGCCTTCGCCTGGAAGCTAAACCACAGCTTGTCCTTGAGCGGGGCCCAGCGCCGTCCCTCGCCTGACACGGGGGACAACCCTGTCATTCCCTCATTAATAGGTGAAGACTTGTGGTGGCCGCCGTCCGAATGACCCCCCGATGGGATGGGTCATACCTACCTCCACTCCATCGGAAGCAGATGCGACGTGGGAGCACGGTTGTCCGTCCAGTCAGACGTGACCGGCGTCAGGCCAGTCACAGACCGATCATTGATCTTGACCATCTCGCGTCAGTTTAGCACGCCGCACGTCTGCCCCACTGCATTAAATGCGACAGGGGGCAGTTGGGGCGCTGCGCGCATTAAAGGAAGTTCAGCCTGGGCCCCCTCCTCGCTTGCTCCCCCCGCCAAACGGCGGCTGGGCGAGGGCCTCGGGGCAAAGCAGTGCAAGGGCCCGAGGGCATGATGTGGCACCCCGAGGCCCTGACCCCCCGGCCGCTCTTGCGGTTCGCGGAATGCGGGGACAGGAACATGCTGTAGGGACACGTGGTAGGATGGGAAGGTAGATTCCCCTCACTTCGCATACCCTCGGGCCCATATCTCCGACAAGTCCAGATAGAAATACAATAAGAAATAATAGAAATTCGGAATTAAAAAAAAGGAATATTAGAAGAAGAGTATAGAGTCCATATACGAATTTGAAATGAACTAAAATTCGGAATAAAAATAATAAAATTAAAAGTAGAGTTTAGGGTACATATAGAAATACAATTTACAAATAGCTAAAATTCGAAATAAAAAATATGGCAAGAAGAGTCTAGAGCCCATATATGAATACAATTTAGAAGTAACTAAAATTCGAAATTAAAAAATAAAGAATATTAAAAGATGAGTTTAGAGTCCACATAGAAATACATTTAGAAATAATGAAAAATCAGAATTAGAAATAAATAATATTGGAAGAAGAGCCTATAGTCTATATAGAAATACAATTTACAAATAACGAAAATTTGGAATAAAAAATAAGGAATATTGGAAGACGAGTCTACAGTCCACATAGGAATATAATTTAGAAATAACTTAAGTTTGATATTAAAAATAATTAATAACTATCACGTATATAAAATATAGTATGAATATTACACATTGGTAGTTTGGTAAAGTTAGTACAAAATTTAAAATTATGTTGTCATTTTAATATATTTTAATAATATATATATATATATGCGCTATTATACAAGAGAAAATATAATGATGCTAGCCGCATAATCTGCGTGGGCCATCATACTAGTTAATCTAAGAGCAAGTACAATAGCAGACTATTAGCCAGCTGCAAACATATTTTAATGAGATAAAAGATGAGAGAGAAGAGCAGCGGGCTACAGATTTATAGCCAGCTGCAGCACAGACTCCAAGACGTAATGTGTGTATGATATGTGGGACCATATATTAATAGTGTAGTAAGCAACTATTATATGAATTAACTATAGTTGAATTGGAGCCAATAGTGCGCTATACTGTTAAACTTGCTCTAAGAAGATACGTACTGTGCCTATTGATTGGGTTGCCCAAATCAGGCTGCCCAAAGTGGTATACTCCGCCGCAGCATCACAGATTGAGATGTGTCCGTACGCCGCCGGCCGGCCGGCCGTTGTCTCGTTTGTTCTGACACAGGCAGGACACTGTGCCGCCGCCGCCGCTGCCGACTGTGGTGGCAAGATCGATATTAATTCATGGTGCGCACTAGCTAGCTGCACACATAAAATATCACGTAGCTGATGATCCATAGGCCAGCGTAGCTAGCTGGTGGTGTAAAGACACCTGGTCACTCGCCTCCCTCTCTACCAAGTATGCAGTGACACCTTGCACGCATGCATGTCGTTGCCACCAACGACGACGACTAAGCTGGCATGTGCCCGGCCTACCTATCTACTACCTCCGTCCAATTCATAAAGGTTTAAAAACCCATAGTATAGTCTATTATAAATCTAGACGGTATAGAAAGTAGATCGTAATACTAAAATATATCATATCTCATACTAGATTTTTCTTAGGAGATAGAGAAAGCTTATCATGTATATATAGCCCATCAATACTTGCTATGTAGTGCGAATAATTATACATATTTTTCGGCTTACATAGAACTGATTTATCTAAGTCGACATAATATATTTATGCTACATAGTTTTTTTTTTCTGTAACTAGATGTTTTTTTATTGATTAATGAAAATATCCTATTATAATAAGAAAGCATTTCTGCTCCCGGGAGCGCACCAATCCCTGGCACATGCACATCCAATCATCTTAGATCATCCCATCCTTCGTCTCTCGATCTCTAGCTCGATGTCTGATCTCTCCGGCCATATATATGATCCATTTGTTCCTTCCTTACTCCAAATGCTCCAGGCTCCAGTATAAATGTCACTGACACTGAGTGAGCGAGTGAGTACACTACTCATGCATGACACTATCCTAATTAGCTTTAGCTAGCTAGATTGACGAGGCCGATCGAATTAGCATACGATCATGATGAGTTTCCCGTACAGCTCCGGCGACCTCGGCGAGGCCACCACCGCCGCCGCCGCCGCCGTTGACATGATCACGCTCGACCAGATGTTCAGAGACTATGATGCCTCCACGTACATACTCCATGATCTCATGAACGCATATATACGTCCATCTTTATTGCTTTAATTAATTAACTAATTAACTAACTAACTAATAACTCGGTATATTTTACAGCGGCGACGATCTCTTCGAGTTGGTCTGGGAAAGCTGCGGCGGCGGCGAGATCGACAGCGGCGCCGGAGAGGTGCAGCCTGCTGGTGTTCCCTGCTGCCGTCGATTGCTGCCGGGATCGTCGCCGGAGCCGACCTCCGAGGACGAGATGGCGGCGTGGCTCTCCACGATTGTCACCGGCTCTGGCGGCGGCGGCGGCGACGACGTGGCTGCCGGCGGAGACCATCAAGATCCGGCGGTGAAGAAGCCCGACGGCGAGCCGTTGACGGAGAAGATGGATAAGAAGCTCCCAACAAGAACGGAAGAGAGGCGGCGCGTCAAGGTGGCTATATACTGATATAGACAACTTTAATGATTATTTATGTCAAAATAAGCTTCCAACTTAATATTCTCTTAATTTTGTTCAAAATTATTAAGTTAAAAATATCTATCAATTTATATTTTTTCCTTTACCAATATATACACGATTCGATTTTTCTGTTGCAAATTAGTTAACACACTGTTGATTTGATCTATTACCTTCTGTCTGACGTACAGCACAAAGCAAGAAGAAATCCTGGATACGCAGAAACACACGGCTTAACAGAGAAGGTAATACAGTACACTTACTTTTTCGCTGGGCCAGCGACAAATCGTGACCAAATATATATGCATTAAGATTTAAGCTAGGATGGAATTATATATAAAGCTATAGTTCAACAACATAATTGTTAAGGTCACACATCCACACCGATTCTACGTAACAGACTATGATCGTTGCTCTACATAATAGACTGTACAATGGCCATGAACACTCTAATATTAGTACATATATACACATATATATGCAAGTTGATAAATCTCCTCGTTCTGTGTTGATAAATCTTTAATTTGTGGTTACTGTTAAGGGTGTAAGTGGGTCAGTCGATGAACCCACTTAGGCTGAGTTCGTGTCTTCACTTTTCTAACTGATCACCTCTCTTATTTTCTATGCGCACGTTTTTCAGATCGCTAAATTGTGTGTTTTTTTATAAAATTTTCTATACAAAAGTTTTTTTTTTAAAAAATTCATATTAATCTATTTTTCAAAAATCTAATATTTAATTAATTATTCGCTAATGAGTTACCCTGTTTTGCGTGTGTGAGAGGTTAGTTCGCAACCTCAATCAACGAACCCAACCTTTTAGATCAAATAAGTGAACAACTTAATTTCTATATATAATTAGTAGTACCATTTAATACAATCCACACTTTTGGAAGAGAAATTACATTCAAGAGCAAGCCTAGAAACAGTACTAAACTGTTATTCTCATGTCAATGTTGGGTAGTTAAGCTAGTACGTACGTACGTGGCGTTGTATCCATATGTTGCATGCATGTATATATATATGTACATGATGCAAATCGATGTGTGTTTTCCCTCTATATATGGCAGAGACGAAGGAGCAGGATAAATGAGAAGTTCAAGATGCTTCAGCGGCTCGTTCCAGGGTGCGATAAGGTCGGCTTAACTCAACAGTTTGTCCTCATCTTTTGCATTGGAATTACAAGACATGTACATATACCCCTATAGCTTCCAACAATTTATGTATAACCAGCTGTTGTTTCCCAAGAAATTTAAAACATTTCGAACCTTACAATTATATATACTCCCTCCGTTTTAAAATATTTGACACCGTTGACTTTTTAGAACGTGTTTGACCATTCGTCTTATTCAAAAAATTTAAGTAATTATTTATTCTTTTCATATCATTTGATTCATTGTTAAATATAATTTCATGTACACATATAGTTTTACATATTTCATAAATTTTTTTAATAAGACGAACGGTCAAACATGTGCTAAAAAGTCAACGGTGTCAAATATTTTGAAACGGAGGGAGTATATAACAGTTGTTGTGCCTAATACACATGTGTCATTGCATGCAGTGTAGCCAATCCTCGACGCTGGACCGGACAATCCATTACATGAAGTCACTGCAGCAGCAACTTCAGGTTGACCCCCCTGCGGCTATATATAATCGTATTTCTGTGGAGAGAATTGATATGATTATTTAACATAAGTACATTAATAGATCAAGTTTGAGAGAATTTAAACTAACTATACATTTGGGTTCGAAATCTCACCATTTCTAATTATTTGATATTAGGTCCTTCCCTAATATTCACGTCTTTAATTTTAACTAACTATACATCAAGTTAAAAATGTAGTGAATGACCCAGCTAGATGATGTTCTGTGCTTTGTTGTGGAATATTTAAATGAATACATGGTAAATAATATAGTACAAAATAATGGATGAATATATATATGTTGAAATATGATGAGATATTAATTTGATACATGTGGGTTGTAATTAACAATTAATGTTGAAGGTTATTAGCTCATCTGCTTGCTAGCTTAATTATCCTACATTGACTTGTGATTAATTAATAATTTGTTTTTGAACACATGCGTATATACCCTATACATTAATTGACGTGTAAGTACGTACACGTGTTGTGTCCAGGCAATGTATCCGACGATGGTGAGACCAGCAGCAGTGTACCCCGTCGTGCAGCCACCGCCGGCGTTCGCCGCCGGCGGACCGCCGGCGGCGTCACAAGGCGGCCTCCACCGCCATCGCCGGCTGATGGTGGTGGTCTCCGTCCACCACCGGTGCCGGTGTTTCCGTTTGGGGCGCCAGTGATTCCGTTGGTGACGATGATGATGCCTGCGGCGGCGGCGCCTCCATGGATCTATCCTTCGTCGTCCACCGGCGATCACCATCTTCTTCAGGGCTCAAGCAGTAATGGCAGCATAGCTACGATCACGAGCAGCCGTCATCGCCGGTAGCCGGCCGGCCGGCCGTCGCCGGCTAGAGCTGCCGGTTAGCAGGGCCGGCCCTGGCACTATGCAGCCGAGGCGACCGTCGGGGGCCATGATGACGGGGGCCATAATGGTGGGGGTGCCAACACCTAATCCTAGTAATCTAGTACCTCATCCAATGTTGAGATCAATGATTTTTATTCGGAATTAAAGGTGTTGCAAGTGAGTTTATCAGATTCTTCGATGTCCGCACCTGGGATTCTGAAGTTTTTTATGGATGCGGATTTCTATAAAAATGTTTCAGTTGCCTATCGAATTCTCTTAACCGTACATGTGACGGTAGCTTCAGCTGAAAGAAGTTTCTCAAAATTAAAGTTGTTGAAGAACTATTTGAGATCAACTAAGTCGCAAGAAAGGTTAAATGGCTTGACTATGTGCTTAATCAAGAAGGATATCTTGGACACTATTGATCTTAATACCGTTCTTGATGATTTTGCATCAAGAAATGCCCGAAGAAGTATCTTTTCATAGGAAGCAATGGATATGATAGGGTTCTATTCTTTATTAAGTTAATGAATAATGATATTAGTTCCAAGTTACAAATATATTGTTGTTTTGATCGACTTTATTTCTTGATAATTACCAGGTATGTTAAATTTAATATATGGATGTATTTGTTTTCATTTTGCAAGTAAAATTAGCGTGTGTATATATCAATAAATTTCATATATAGCTTAGAAGGCTCATCGCGATGAGTTCGCTTAGGGCCCTCAAAATCATATGACCGGCCGTGCCGGTTAGCTGGGGAAAGACATAATGCGTGATCTCCATCGTCGACCATATGCATGGCTGGCTAATTAGCAACATCGTTTCATTGAATTAATTCATGCGAATTGGTGTGAGCTCTTGGAGCAAGTATCGTATTAACTACTACTCCCTCCATCCCAAAATGTCCGACGCCTTTGACTTTTTAAAAAATGTTTGACCGTTCGTTTTATTCAAAATAAGTACTTATTAATTCTTTTCCTATCATTTGATTTATTTTTAAATATACTTTTATATATACATATTATCAGGGTTATGGATACCACATACCTAATAGTAGTTAACTAAATCTCGGCAGGACCCACCACATACCATGTTCTATACGGAGACAACCTGCGGATATAGGAGGAGTTCTGGATAAGGAAAGACAACCAGAGTTCTACATGGAAACAACAAGGACTACTCGGATTGTATCCATATTGGTTTCCCTAGTTCTACTTAGAAAAGAGGACACCTATGGGTATAAATACAAGACCCCTTAGGAGGAGGGGACACGACCACCACAATCTATGGAACAACAGAAGCCACGACATACAAGCCAACATACGCCAAGACAAGACGCCGGATATCGACTTCAGGGATAAGCACGGCTAGTCCCCTACGGTGTCTCCGGATACTGTCAGGAGAGACGAAAGCGTTATCTCTGATCTCGCCGGACATGAACTCGAGGAGGGAGACTGCCCTGTTGTCGACTATGAGTCAGACCTTCAGACCGCCATGTCGATAACAGTTAGATAGGCAACCCCATATATTGTACTGGTGTGATTATGGTGAATAAGAGCAATACCGGATTCGGCCAACAGGATGTAGGGTTATTACCTGACAATTCAGGGGCCCGAACCTGTATAAAAATCCTCGCCTCCATATCTTTTACCTCAATCTCGCGTATACCCTAGTACCGACGATCCCCATACTATGCAAATACCGGAATCGCGACATCAAATGTCGACACATATATAGTTTTACACATTTCATAAAAGTTTTTGAATAAGACGAACGATCAAACATGTTTAAAAAAGTCAACGGCGTCAAACATTTAGGAAAGGAGGGAATATTTAAAATATATGACTACATTGACTTTTTCGCATAATGTTTGTCAATTTGTCTTATTTAAAATTTTAGTTAGTATATGATCATATAAAAATATAAGTTAATTATTTGATGATAAAATAAGTTATAACAAAATAAATGATACTCATATAAGTTTTTTTTAATAAAATGAATGGTCAAACATTATGCGAAAAATTAAGCGCGTCATACATTTTAAAATGGAAGGAGTACTAAATTTGTCCCATAAGGGTGGAGAAGAGAAGTTAGGAGAGAGAATGAGCCATATCTTAGAAGGGATAATCTCGATCCATACAATCTTAAAAAAAAAAGGAGTTCAGGATGACGTAAGAGTGAAACTAATAAAAGAAAATTATTAAGGTTTGTGTATTAGAGATTGATATGTTGTACTTGTTATCTCTTGATTAATAAGTAGATGACATAATTTAAATCATGGAAGCATCCACCTTCACCATAAAACTTCTCTTAGTTGAAACCCAAAGGAATCAACCATATATACGTACGTACGTATGAACATATAGACACTGATCGAGAAATGAATTGGAGCACAACAAACACACTCACCATACTCAAAAGAAATTGAAGAAATAAAAAGAGGCCCAGCTGCCAGAAACGTCTGGTTCCTTGGTGGGCTACTAGCTAGGCTATGGGCCGGCCTGTTATGCCGAGCTAGCACACATGAGCACTACCCAGCATGCCTTGGCTAGTTCGTTTGGCTGATGCCTGATGGTCGAATTGCTTAATTAGGGTAGGTTCATATTGATACCAAAATAAACCTTACCAAAATTTAGTAGCGCTAAAATTTTAGCAAATTGATAACATTATCAAAATTTTGGTACAATTATTTAATAATACTCCCAAAATTCCATTCACATTAATTGCCAATATTTGACAATAAACTAAATGTAACCATCTAATTGTCAATTTTACCATTATATCTAATTGTCAATTTTACCAAATAATGGTATGGTTAAAAAATATTGGACAGACCCTTAATAACCTGGTTAGTTAGTCGGTCAGAAGCATACCATTCCGTCGCACACGTGCTCGTTAGTCAAAACGATGGGAGGTGTAGAAAAATGTTTTATGATTTAATTAGATTTTCATGTCACTAGCTTCTTAAAAAGTATTTTAAAAATATGAAATATTTTTTTTAACGAACAACACCAGATGATACATTGTTTCATTGAATAAAGTAGAAAAAAAATACAAAGCTAGCACTCGAGAAAGACAGTAGCTAGGAACAAAAGGAAAACACCACCACCACGCACCGATAACGGAGCTAACATCGGATTAGCCGCCGCTAAAAGTGACTGACCATCGCATGACCAACAATGAAGAAAAAGCTGGGCCACCAAAAACTAAACCCTAACAGATGAGCACCACACTCAACTCTATCCAAGTCTTTCTTTGTGATTGAAAGGGGATAAAGTGATAGAGAAGAATGTAACCGCTCTCTCTCACAAGGCTCGCCAACATGGCCAACTTACAAAAGCAAGGACGCCACTGCAAGAGGACAAACATCTAGAGAGAGCAACGCACAAGCTGTCAGAGAGATGTTTTGGCTGGGGGCCTCCTAAACGATGTCTCTAGGGAGAAAAGCGACTCTGAGTACTGCCGCCACCATCCGTTGAGATCTCAAGGAGAACCAGGATAGGGTTTTCACTTGACAACCCCACTAGATGGAGAGGGATGACTCGACAACACCCCCAAGAGAGAGAACGACACCCGAAATGCCGTTGTTGCCGGCCCAGCAAATCCGAGCTAGGTTTTCACCTACTGCCTACCTGCTGCCGATCCGAGCTAACGCTCTATTGCTCCAACACCCGTCATCCTCCGTCAGTGCGTGGACATCGCTAAACTGACGCCCCCCCGCTGATCAACCACTGTATGTCTCAGTGGCATACCCGCTGTCACCGGCCTTCTTGCCGCCACAACGCTAGCCTCCCTGCTGTCGCCACGTCGACCTCCCTGGCCTGGAGGCGCTAGATCTAGCCAACCCCGTCGCCACCTTCAAGCGGTTTCGCCGAGTTCACCTGGGAGAAGCTGGAAGAAGGGAGCAGCTACCTTGCCACCTCCGTGCCACCACCACCATGCTGCCACGACAGCCTCGCCGTGCGCCACTGTCTTGCTCCGTCTCGTGGCGCGTGGGCACAGTCGCACCGTCTCTCCTGCGAGGGAGATGGCTCGCCGCCGGGACAAGGCTTTGCCATCACCATCATGGCTCACCGCACGGTTGTCCGGCGACTTACTCCGGTGGTGACGAGGTGGGGTTCAGGGCGAGGGGGGCAGCGGCGGTGGCTAGGTTTTTTCGCCTCGAGCCATCTGCACGGGAGGCGACTTGGGAAAGGAGAATAAAAGATGCAATATTAATTTTAAAACAAATGAAACATCGAGTTCTCACGTGAAACTATCGATACACCGCGACAAAATTTCATAAAACAAACAATTTAAAATAGTGAAACACGGTCAAATCATGGTCTAAACAATTGCACATGGAACATCAAGTTTTGGGAAAAAAAAGAAAAAAACTTAACATTTTTTCTACTTTACAGCTAAATATTTAAAAACTTAATGATGATCAGTTTGATTAAGTTTGTTGAAGGGGTGTTCGAGAGGACGAGAAAGGAGAAAAAAAAAGATACACAAAACGAGGTAACTAGGTAGGTAAAGCATTAACGTTTGACTCATTTGATTATTAACTACTTTGAACTAGAACATGAATTAATATGATTTTTAAAGCAATTTTATCTAGAAAACTATAAAATCGTTCAACAATATAATTCCGAAACAGTGCGTGAAAAATAAGGACTTCTATCTCTTTTTTATCATTCAAACTAACGGTTCCTCCGTTTACATGAGGGAAGAGAGTACCTAGATTATAGTAGAATATTTCCACATATGCTTGCATGCCATAGGTATCTTCCTATCTAGCTACCTGCATGCTAGCTTTAGGGTGTGGTTAGTTGGGTGGACGAGGTTGGATGGGAGATGGTCATTCAATTTTCTTTTTGTGATGTTTGGTTGGAGAGAGTAAGGTGGATGGGGCAGTCCATAAAAGAAAATATTCCCTCAATATGCTGGATGGGTGGATCTGACTAATTTGACTGAATGAAATGTCCATGTTTTGGTTTGAGTGACGTGGTCTATTCCGATTGAGTGTGGTTAGTTTAATTTTCTGCTTATAAGCTCCAAATATTTTTTTTCTCCTAAGCTGTTTATTTAGTTTGTGATCCAATTACACCATTATATTATTACAATCAAATCTTTAAATTAAACACATGATCTCCGATAGTTATATTTTGATAAAAAAATATACATGACAAATGAACCCTACTAACTTTTGGCTTATCCGATTCATGCTACTCACTCCGTCCCTAAATATTTGACGCCATTGACTTTTTTAAACATGTTTGACCGCTCGTCTTATTTAAAAAATTTAAGTAATTATTAATTCTTTTCCTATCATTTGATTCATTCTTAAATATACTTTTATGTATACATATAGTTTTACATATTTTACAAAAGTTTTTGAATAAGATGAACGGTAAAACATGTTTAAAAAAGTCAACGGCGTCAAATATTTAGGGACGGAGGGAGTATATTCCTCCAATAAAATAACAAATATAATCAACCTATCCATACAAATCAAATAAAAAAAATTAAATCATTATATCAAACAAAACATGAAATCCCATTTATGCATTGAAA